TTTATGAATTCGCCTATCTCCTATAGATCAACGAAGAACTCCGCGTTTTCCAACAACTGGAACTCCAGTTACCTTCACTTGATCTTCATAACTCTGATAGATGTTTACGAAGTAGGCAATTTGGAATTTGGATTAAGTGGATTCGATGTTTTCATCGCCAAGATCAAATCAAACTTCGAAGGTTGAAAGCTATTGATGAATTTGATGAAGTAGATATGAAGTAATATGTGTTCTCTCAATATTCAACCTTCTTGAGAATCGTTTAGAGGCATGCTGATATTTATACCATAAGTTTAAGGTTGAATGGGTTAGATAAAAAAGTCTTAAAAATATGAATTAAAACTTTCTGGATGATATTGTGGCTCGAGCGAGAGTTTAACGACAGGTTGTCGCTCGAGCGAAAAGCTAGCGAAAATGTGGTGCCGTGTTTCTCCTCTTTTCATGCTCGAAACCTAGACCTCATAACCCAATTTGTACAAATTGCACCATAGGTCCTTGACTTTTACAACACATTACAAATTAGTCATTTGTCCACAAAATTGCTAACAGTAAAAACCTAACAAACCTAACTAACACCTTAAGATGGGTAAATAGGTGTACAAGGCGGAATTTAAATTTATCAATTATTATTAGCAACAAGTCATTATTAATAATCAATTTAGATGAATTCACATGCAATTATTATCCTATGTTGAATTACAATAGTTTGTATAATTGCAAAAAGGTAAATAACACAAATATTTTGATAATGGCGAAAACCCCTCGCGGGATAAAAAACTCATGGACCAAGCCAGTAAAATCCACTATAGACAAAGACTTACAGTACGATCCAAAATAGACAACCTTGTAAACTCGTTGACCTACTTCCTATAATCTCCAAGGCCCTCTTGGATTGTGTGCCAACTCCCAACCTTCGGGAATTTTTTATCTCTTGTGGATCACCAATGTAACGACCTAAATTTTTTATATTTAAAACGTTACTAAAAGTTTCATTCAACTTTTAAAAAAGGCATGCAATAATATAAAGTTATGTAACATTGGTTTACTTGCTATTATATAAAATAATTCCATATTCTAAAAAGCCATATCTTATTCATTTTGCAATTAAATGAATATTTCCAACATCATAACATAAAATATTTTTGGTTCCACCAATATTAGATAAACATATGGAAAAAAAAAACATAACTAAATAAAACATGTTCCAAACTCTAAATAACAAATCCACATAATAATAAAACTAAAGCAACTACTGAAAATAAAATCTATAGTCACGTTACACCGGATTTAATTTATTAAGTCCAATGAATTCAAGCACAACGACTGCAACTTATCGTCTGCCATCCAATGATCCATTCTAATCTGTGAGAGGTAGGGAAAAGGGTTGAGTACTCGGTAGGACACAAATAATGGTGCAATCACGAATAAAAATATTAAATCATGCGTCAAAAATATCATACCCTCATATTATATCTTTAGAAACCTGTAAGACTCAATATATATAATATATTTGGTATCATATGGCCATAACATACATATCATATCATATCATAATTTTCATTAGCATAATATTTACCAACATAAAAAAATAAATTAAACGAGACAAACTACTTGCACCTCATAATTCTGCCTCGTTAGATCGAATAACTTTTTTGCAAAATAAAATTCAAAGTCACGTTCTAAACTTTATTTTTGTCTGCATCTGCTTCCGTGCCGTGTATATGCATATATACATATGACAAAACATGAAGTCTAATGTACTTGGGAGTTGAAGTGTTGTTTCCAGCAAGAAAATGTTTCACTCAAGATTATAATGTTTTGTAATCATCCCATTCAAAATCAAAAGAAAACTACTTTCTCTCTCCTTAACCATACATACACGTGGCTACCATCCTTTAGAGTTTTGAAACAAATTTTATTCAATTACTAAATAAATGACAACTTCTTTAAATATCGATAACTTAGACTTTGCTTATCCGAATTAACTTTTTTTCAAGCCTAATATACATGATTAATTACGAGCTATCCAATAAGCCCCATATTAATATGCTTTTCATCGCTTTAATAATATCTAAATATTTAGCCCAAATTTTGAAGTTAATACATAAATCACTTCAATCTCCCAATTTTTTTTTATGAAATATAGCACCTTAAATAATTAAATTTTATTCTATGAAATTTTCGAGGCTCCACAACCAAAAACTCCTAGTCGCCTTCATGAATCTTCAAGGTGTCGATTGATCTCAATGATTAGACTCGTTATAGGATCTCCCAAATATGTTCTCTAGGTAGAATAATATGAACAACCATCGTTTTCACGAAGTGGTCTAATATCTAATTAAATAGCTTTTATCAAATTCGAAGTCATGTAATATCGAACAAGATGGTTTGTATGTTTTCTATACTAATCATAAACTAAGAAAGCAAATAAAGTATTTATCTAATAAGTGAATGTTTGTATTGAAATTTTGAATCCCCTTATTACCATTTAATTTAATTCGTAATCTAGTAGATTCATGCATTCAAGACAGTCGATAATCCACTTTTATTCAATATTCTTTCTTAAGATATATTAAACATATGTTTTCCACGTTCTAGATTTATTGTAATTATTCATACACTACAACAAACAACTTATGATCTAATTGGTGATCAAACAATCAAATAGTTCAATGGACATGCAAAACCAATCAAGAAATATTAAACTAACTAATTGTCTTGAATTAAAATAAACAAACAATATGGCTCATCATTCATCCAATACAAGCCTAGCCAACGATTCTAATTATTAAATTATGCAAGAAATAATGAAAAGACATCGAAGAAAGTGGAGAAATCTAATTTCTTAGCTTGAATCTTGATTTTGGATTAAGGATTTTCAATGAACTTGTATAATTTGCATTTGGTTGATGATTGTTCCTAGTTCTTTGCCTCCATGTATTTTTAGGTCTAGGGAGGTTTTTCACATTCTGGACGGATTGTGGTATTTGTAGAGTGCCAAAAAATTGCATAGCAAAAGTTGCCGAAATAAGAAAATGAAAGAAATCTTTCTCCCAATCGGAAAGCTATGCGTACACATGGTATAAATTACATGTAAGCATATCAAAATGATTTTAGCTTCGGTCGGCGTATAATGGGATCTCGCGTACGCATAGGTGCGTATGGCTTGCAGGCCTATGCGTATGCATAGCTTCACATTTTGGGTCAATTGTGCAAATTGGTCCCTAAACTTTTCGCAATGTATTTTTTAGCCTTTTCACTTGTGATTTCATCCATTTAGCTTCCAATTGCCTGCCTCCAATTGAATTTGCATCATCTTCACTCTTCGTTTTATGTCCTGACGCAACTATTGAAAAGTTGCAATTTAGTCCCCATAGTTTTAATTTCGCCATTCTTCCCTATTTTCAACTTGTTTTCTCCAATTTTTCATCAAATCATGAGTTTTACCTAACAAACACAATATAACATAAACTAAGCTATATTTCATCAAAAGAACTACAAAATATCATTATTTAAATCCCAAAATAAGTGTATAATATATACTTATTACAGTGCTTCTTTTTTGGACGCTTGAGCTTAAGCTTGGCGACAAACTAGCATAATTTCGGTGACTTTTCCTTCTTATTCCATACTCGAACCCAAAGACTCTTAGTTCATCTATACAACATTCCAATAGATTCCTTGACTTTTATAACACTTTTATTAACATTAATTTTGTCTAAAGTCATGTCAATATAATGAAACCTAACATTAATGATCATATTACAACCAATAGTGGGTGTCACGTCAGTCAATCACATATTCATATGTGAACTTAATAATCTCTAATTAAATTATGACCATATAAACATGAAATGATCCACAAAAACGATTTCATATAGTATAATGATATTCTATCTATTATATGACCTTGTGTTTTTTACTAAATGTGCTAGTATATNTATTTTGTGACAAAATTAAGTATTACAAGTTAAAGTAAAACATAAACTACTACCCAAAATCCAACTTGCTCAATTAATGCTTGCTTTTCTCTTCAAACCTGTTTCCTAAAGTCGTCAACTCAAATACCAAGTGTAAAAACGCTTGATGAGAATGTAAAATACTATATTTTTCGTCCTTTTATCTTATGCTTTAGTGACTAATTGATGTCTAAATGTACTCATTACTTGTATATTTTGATTTAGGTTGCAATTGAATTAATATGATAGAATTTAGAAGAAATAAGCGAATAAGGACTGAAGTGAAAGAAAATAAAAGCTCAAGAACCAAACTACAAATATCCAAAAGATAACTCGAAAGGCAAAACGAAGATGTAAAAGATTTGAAGACCAATTAATAGAAGACGTGAAGCATTAGAAGAAGAAAAACTAGAAAAAAAATCACGAATCGAGAAAAAGAAGTTTGAGAGCTAAAACGTAACAATTACAAAGATATCAATACTATGCAGTCGCATACATGGTTTCAAAGAAATGAAAGCTGAGTTTCAAATGAACTATGTGACCGGACGCATTTGTACTATGTGGTCGCATAGTACACCCCCGGTGCGCGGAATCTGGTTTTCAAATTTGACTCAAACACTTATAGAAACAAATTTCAAAACGTTTTTTAAACTCAAAAACCATCGAGAAAACGAGGACACGCACCCCCATCCCCCTCTTCTCTCTTTTTGCTTTTGGAATTGTCATGAGTAGCTAAATCTTTGTATTTGGTCGAAAGAAACTGAAGTTTCGGAATCAATCCAACCGTGTGATCTAAATTATTTTAATTGTTTAATTCATGTTTTGAGAATTGAATGTTTTTCGACATTTATTTTCGTAATTGTTACGCTAGGGGCATGCTAGTTTATTAGGATCGCTTATTTTCTAATTAAGCAATAGTGAATACTGAAACCGCTGCTGCAATTTTCCCAAAATTCAACTACAAAAGCCAAGTGGTGCATCAGATTCCAATCTTCGCAGCCCACTCAACCGATGGCGGAGGAAGTAAAACCGCTGCGAAAAATGGCTGAGGCCTTTAAAGAACTGGCCAACGCGGTAAATTCCCAATGCCCAGATGGAGAAGAAGAACCCCGGATCGAATTGGGTCCATTCTCTTTGGCTTGTTCTCTCGTCTCCCCTCTGTTTCGCTGCCTTGGCATAGCCTTCAAGTTCGCCGAACTCGATTATGTCGCTAAAGTAAAAAAATTTGTAGTTATTTCTTTTGTTTGTGGATTTTGTTTATTATTAATTCGAGTTCATTTGATGATGATGATAAAAATTAGAACTTGGGTAATGTATTTAATTGTTATTTATGCTTAATTTGATTTCTGAACAAAATATACATGCTTTTATTAATGATTAGTTGAAATATTGTTCATTAATTTTGGGGTAAAAAATTATTAGTGATAATTGTACTTTTCTCTATATGATTATTTATGTCTGTGTGAGTGTGATGTCGAAAATTCGTATATTTCTTTACATGTATCTGTTTTTGTATATTTACTTGTGGAACTGGAAATGATATTATTGATATTTGTTCATAATGAGTGGTTAAATTATTCTGTTTATGTATTTTGGTGTTTGTTGATGCGCCTTCAAAAATTTTGTTTGTGTTATTTTCTATTATAAGTGTATTACTTTTCACAAAAAAAGAGATGTGAATTCATATGTACCCTTCCTAAGTTTGTATTTACCAACTTGGCTTCCTAGTCGTGGATGCTGCGGGATGGCAATGGTCCTTCCCACCCATTAAGACGTAGAGAAGTGTATTAGATAGGCAACATAGTACACTATACATGTAAACGTTTAGGAAATGTTTGGGAGACGATATTGAATAGTACCGTGAACAATATTTTGACTTCCTTTTCTTCATTGGTACTAGTCTTGCATAGTACACCTTGCCGACAAGCTATAAATATGTATATGCCCCTGTTTGGTACACATTTTGGATTCAAGAATGCATTTGTTTGTTTATGTGATGGGGAATAAATGGTTGAAAAAGAAGGAAAACTTATTGACGTGATGAAAAATATTATTTTATTGAAAAATGTGTGGTTGAAAATGAATAGAAGAATGATAATAAAAAAAATAATGTAGCTCAAACGGGGGCATAATATCTTTAATTTCCATGTTTTTTGAGTGTTGCTGAAATTCTTGTTGATAAAACAGGTGGATGATCTTGCTGAGGCATCTAAATCAATATCAACACTAGAAGTGATGATGGATAAGGATATTGAATCCAATTGTGTAAGGACCGCTGGGAGCCATACGAGGAATCTTCTGAGAGTGAAGCGTGGGCTTGACATGGTCAGGGTTTTGTTTGAACAAATTGTTGCTTCAGAGTATGTTCACTGGACCCTTTATACTTGATAACTGTGTCTTTAGTTTTTCTATTGTTAATATTCGTTCCACTAATGCTTTTATTATATTATATGTACATGAACTGGATGCGAGGAATTGTTAAGAAGGATTCTCACAGTTTTAAAATTGATCTGTTTGGTGGAAAGGCTAATTTTGCTCTTCAAAAAAAGATTAGAATCATCTTTGAAGCATCTTGTTAGTATTAGGTTTAACTATTGATGGGAGTTCACACAGAAACTCTAAAATAGTTTAGTGGTTCCATGTCTCATATGAGAGTTTGGAAAATAAAATTGTGTGGAGATCGGAACTAAGAAGACTTTTGGTACATTAAATTTGTGGCAATGTGTAGAGTAAGAACATTATTCCAGAACCAAATTAAAACCTGAGTAGTCTTGAGAATTCTAGTGTCAAAACACTATTGAAGGGTTTTTACACTGAAACTTTAAAATAGTTTTAAGTAGAAGCTTGAGTTTTCCAGGTCTACACATGCAAGTTTGGGGCATGAAATTGTGTGGAGATCTGAACCATCAAGACAGTATGTTAATTTGGAGAGGATCTCTAAGCTAAGGACATTTCTCGAGAACCAAATTAAGATCTGAGGAGTCCTGAGAAGTTTACATTTATAGCAAGGGAAGTGTTACAGGGATCACAGGTCCATAAAGTAAATATAGCAAGTGAAATACAGGTAGAACCACCTGATTGCAACATGAGGATCTCGAAATGACAGTGCTTATAGCATGGTTGAGCAACAGTAAAAATTATACTGCGTTTTTTGACAGAAAATTTTAAAGTCTTCTCAGATTTTCCTCAAATTCATATTTATGAGTTATACTTGAAAGCAATTTTCCAGTGACAACTGAAATTAGTCGATTGTTCTCTTCTTTCTAGTGGGCTGTCATTAGATGTCTTATCGGTTCATTTTGAAGATTTCAGAAAGTTGAGAACTGAAAAAAAAATTTCATTAATTGTTCTCCTTTTTCTGTTATTATTTGTTTATTTATTTATTTATTTTTTTGGTGGATGGGTTTGGAGGTGGGGTTGAAGTTTCATAGTTCATACGATAGCAACTGTTGTTTACATATGCTATTAATCCCTTTTAAGCATATACTTTAATCGGGATACTCAATAAGTGGAAATGCAAGACTTGAAACGTTGTTTTCGGTAGGGGAAATTCATTGAAGGATCCAGCATCAAAAGCTTATGCACAAGTATTTGCTCCATACCATGGCTGGGCTATCAGGAAAGCAGTGGGTGCAGGAATGTATGCCATTCCAACGAAGGCACAGCTACTGAAGAAACTAAATGAAGATGGTAAGTTTACGTTTTCTGTGTTTTGCTTATATAGCTTAATGCCTCAACAAACAGCATAAATTGCATATCTGTGCATTCATCCTTGAGGGCTTGTTTATCCCTTTTAAGGTGTCGTCGGGGTTTCATATTGTTTTTTGGGTTAGTTTTTCTCTGCATATTATGGGGTTTATAGAATGGGATAAAAGTGCATATTCAGAGTTAATTCTTCTTTCTAATACTCTTTTTAAAATCTATATTTTCATCTATTTCAGAAGCCTCGGCAAGAATTCAAATGCAAAACTACATTGCCTCATCGACCACTGTCATTATATATATTGATCAACTCTTCAACACAAGAAAGCTTGGCATTAATTGGTGAAACCTTGGAGCTGCTCGATCCCGATCCAAGTATTATGTTAACTCGTTACTATTGTTGTTAACTCATTATCTATTATAATGCTTCAAATGATTTGTGCTATTTCTCTGTTGTATAGTTTTATCACAAAATTGTTGTTAAAAGGACTAAGTGATATATTTTATTTGACTGCTAATTGAAGACAAAAATATTGTCTTCCTTTCAGTTTGTTTCAATATTTTTTGCTTGAAAATGGAGATGAGAAGCACGTCTGGGAGTTTTTGAGATGAGTGATGGATAAGTTGGTAGTTCATGTGCGTCCATTAAATGAGTGGATAAGAAGTGATTTGATCAATTATAAACCTGTTTATAAACATGAGACAAATATGGGTGTAATCTCTATTTTGTTTTCGGATTTTATTGAGTGAAGTATATATGTTGTAGACAAAATATATTTAATCTTTTAATGAGGTATTTATTGTGATATTAGAGGGTAGTATTCAAATAAATAATTGTACGTGTCGAACCTTTTCAAAAATTAATATCGCTTTCACCGATGTGTCTGTGGGTAGCTAAAATATTTTCTTCAACAACTTAAACTTTTAATACCAATAGTTTTGACAAAGATTTTTGACATAATTACAATCGTGTCAATGGTTCGAGTTTATTTTATTAAAATTATTTAAAATCCTAAAATTGACCCACCCCAAACCTCTTACCTCACCGGCTCACACTACCCTAAATCCCGTTCCCCCATATGTTTCTTCACCTCTCAACTCCAACCCAAAATGCTCACCATCAATGGCAGTAGTGTTACTCTGTTGTATGCCACAAAAAAACTCGGCAATGTATGCATACCAATTGCGCACCGAGTTACTACCTCGTCCGTCTCTCTTTAAACATTGAAATTTGAAGGTACTTCCAAGTATAGAAATTAATGAGTTAGATTAGAGGTGGGGTGATTTTGACATTTTTCAAGAATAAAATACACTGATTAACTGAAATAATGATGAGCTTAGTTATTATCTCAGGCAGCTGAGATTGTTACATCAAAATGTCCTTTTTCGTTGCTCAGGATGAGGGAGGAGAGGGAAGACGGCATAGGCAGATTTTGGGGTTTGGGATGGGGGAGGGTATTGGGGATGGTGTGGGACCCATTTTGATGTTTTAAATAGTTTTATTGATATTAATGCATACCATTAGATAAGTGATGTTAAAAGAGAGCCAAGACGAACAAACAAGTTGAGCTAGATTGGCTCTTGCTCGAGGTCAGGGGCGGATCCAGGATTATGATTTAGTGGAGGGAGATAGAATTACGTAAAAAAATAATTTCAAATTAGACAAACTACGTTGGGTTTGGGTTAAAAATTATGGGCTAAAATTATGTGGACTGGTTTTTTTCAATGTCAAAAATTAAGGGTCTGGGGGCAATTGCACCCAGGACCCTTAATGGGTCTGCCCCTGCTCAAGGCGAGTCGCGGGCGAAAGTGAGCGGCTAGCATAAGTTGACTCGTAATGTGCATATTACATGCTAGATTGATGGCACCCTGCATCAACAGTGTCTCGGATCAAGTTACCGTTTGGCCTCCTGAATTTAGATTTCAAACTCTGAAAAAAAAAATGATGTTGACTTCAAGTCTATAAATATGGACGGTAGTAAACCAACTTCATCACACTTTCAAAAAAATATACAATCTTGCTAATATATAAATACCACCTCTTTACGAGTGCAATTTTTCAATTATTATTTGTTTTTAATTATTTGTATTAGTTGGAGTTTTTATTCCTAAATATTCCAAAAAAATTCGTAATGGATTACACTGGTTTCATAGACGCCGATAAGGATGTTAACCAATAATTTCTCAAGCATATAAATTTCCAAATTTGAAAAATACGGGTACTACAAAATCGTCAAGCATTGAGCTTGATGACGACTTGAAAAAGCAGTCTCTACAAACTACAAAGAGATAAAAGAAGGTAATATGTCGTGAGCCTACTTCTAAGTGTTGGAACATTTCACGAAAAAGAAAACAGTTGAAAATGGGGAGCATGTTACAAAAGCATATTGCAAGCAATGTCAGAGCATTTCGCTTGGAAACCAAATATTGGCACTATCTAGCATTACAGGCATTATGAAGAATGCCATGTTCGATTGGGCTCTTGATTGTAGGCATTCTCAATTGCAATTTTGTTTAGGTCGAGAGGGATCTCCTGGAGCTGCTCTTGCAAATTGTGGGTATAATCCAGAAACGAAACGGGAAGACATGATAATGTTCGTAACAGAGTTAATTTAATCAATAGTCACTGAACTTTGCTATAGGTAGTAATCTGCGCGTCGAAATTTTAAAAATTGCTCTTTCCTAACTGAATTTTGCTATAGATTACTACTTACTCACTGAAATTTAAAAGGTTACTCGTTTTAAAAAAATATTTGCTCCACAACTTATTGCATTAATAAGTATTTGACCATGTATAAAGAAATCGTTGCTTTTAAGGTCATTGAATATTCACATAATGCACAAAATATTTTCAAAGTTTTAATGGACGTACTTAGAAAAGTTTGTTACAAAGATAAAGTTTGTAGTTTCACCTTTTTGATATATATAATGTTAATGTTAGCACTAACGTTTATGAAAATTGATTAACCAACCCCATTTAAATTTTGATACGAAATTTTTCACATACTTGTTATTATAATGGTAGGCATTCATATGGTTTTGATTACTTTTGAGATCATGAAATGTTAGAAGATTTTCTTTGATGCGACCAATGGGTGTGGGGGGCATCCATTGTCGCTTCTCTTACTGTTATAACTCATTTTTTCCCAAAAAAAAAAAAAAATAGTAAACATAGAAACTACTTATTTTTCGGTAACATAATTGCTACCATAGGTTAAAATTCCAGAGAACATTGAAAAGACTTGCCCATGTTATTCCTTCTAGGTACGATTATAAACACTCATTTTAACTCGTATTATAGAAAAAATTCTTCTAATTTGACATTTAATAACCCAGATTACAATTGTGATGTTGAAAGGAATTTGAGCAAATTATATTTTCAATATGCTTCCAAACACATTAGGAAGAATGATCCACGCCTTCTACAGTTTCATCATTGACCGTTGATAATGTTTGGACCTATTTAATTACGAGGAAATCTATCATATCCTTTACTTAATATGTTAAATCGAGAAGAGAAAATCAATATTGATCTTCTTGGGTGGTGAACAAATGAAAAATAGCACGTGATCTACTAACACCTCAATTGTAAACTGTAGCATCGAAGGCTACGTTTGTACAGATTGTAGGGTCCTATCGAACAAAAAAGCAAATTGAAAGAAAAAAAATATTTGAGGATTTAATGTGCTTGAGGGAATAGCAAGTTGTAGACTACCAGATCCAACAAGAGATTACTAGTACATTGACATTTTTTGTTATTTTTAAAATAAATTGTATACAAAATATTTATTCGTATAGAATTTTAACTTCATCTACGTGTTATAGTCAGTTCAAGCTTGGACAAAAGATAATAGTTTTCACAACTTTATAATTCTTTTGACAAAATAGAATTTTTTAGGTTCACCATACAAATTCACGTCCTTATTAAATTTCAAGAGAAAAAAAAGTAATTTTTTTTTTTTTAAAAAAATTGTACTCTTAGTGACTCGCAAACCGGTTAGACTTGGCCCATCAAGGGGCTAGTTGGTGGGACGAGCCGAGTAGTGAGACTCTTTTGAAACGAGCCCGCTCGTGCTTGGCTTGCCCCCACTTGTAAACAAGTGTTGGCTTGTCAGTGAGCCAAGCTCGACAAGGATGGGGAGTGGCTCTGCTAACCCAACTCAACACCCTATTTTTTGGAGTGACAATTTATTTCATTGCATAAACAATATTTCAAAAAATTCAACTAACAAGTCATGCGAGGTAAGCATACCTATACATTTCATAATATGAGGCAAGATATAAAAAATATATTTCATTTCATACCTGAGAATAATTGGAGAGTGGTCGAATAGTGAGCTTCATGTACCAATGATTCTTTATAACATTGTATGTTTAAAACTTTACATTATCTTTAAACTCCTAAGTTTATGAAAATACCCCTTCTTTTTTTTTTTCAAAAAAAAAAAAACAGGATTTTCTTGAAATAGAAATTTCTAAAAAATAGAATATTCTTAAATTTGAAAATGTTTGAATTATTATTTTTCATTTCAATAATTAGAATAACGGGCAACCAAAAACTTCCAGATGAGGAGGGGGGGTCACAAGCGGACCGCCTAAATCTCAATCTCTTCTTAAATAGTTCAGGTCTTTTTGACATTTTTTTAATCTTGCGAATACGCAAATCAAGAAACTCAAACAATAAATAGAACTTGAGACCTCTTAAAATATGAATGTTCTAATTAGTAAATTTTAAAATACCACCCGAAAGTTAGAACTAAACATACAAACATGTACNTAATATCAACAAAAAGAAAGTCTGATACGTGAGTTGCACGGAAAAATGGCGTCGGCGCTTTTTTACTTTTTTGTTTAATTTAGCAATCATTTAAAAAAAGAAAACAATAATTAGGAAAGTAAGGAACTCATTTCTGACAACTATCTTTTTGAAGCAGATAGTTCAAAGTGCTTATTCGATATATACTATATAAGCCAACTCATGAATAAATTACTTCGATACCTGAGTCTGTCCGTACTTTTTCGCGTGCTCTGTGACTGGGACTTGACTTGGTGCGTCGCTTTCTTGGCTTCATTTCTTGACTGGTTGGATTTTTTTCTTTCTGTTCGTCACTGTTCACATGAACAGTGAACGTGAATAGTAATTTTTTTTTATTACAAAGTCTACAGGAAAACAAAACCTTAGCTTTGATATCAAACTGTAATGCCCCAAAATTTCACAAATACTCGATGGTTACCAAAAATTCAATTTTTGCGGAACAAAAAGATAATATTATTTAAATAAAAATAACTGAAAAATTCATAATAACACACATAATTACAATTTAAATAACTGTTTTTGAACAAATT